AGCATAGTAATTGGAAATGCACCCGCCTCCTGGGCGCTTAGGAACAGGAACTGCCTGTCGATTTCCTGCCTGGGAACCTGGGAGCTGTATAAAGAGATAAAGAGTTGAAGAACCTAAGATCTCTAAAGGAGGTTTAAGTGTGTCTTCTTGGGATTGGACCTTTAGGGAGTCTTTTAAGAGAACTCCTTCTTCTAGACTGGCATTCTTAGCACAGCTCCTGTGTTGATGACCTTTGCACAGCCAGGCTGTAACCTAGTGTCTAAGATGGAGGAGGCAGTCTATAAACGGTTGTTGATGAAATAAGTGAAAGAAAGCAAGCTTTTCCCTCTGGCAAGGAAACACTCAGACAAAATTCCCCAAGACTTTTAAAGGTGCTCCTGGTCATTACTTTTCATTGTTTTTCCTGGGAAGGCTGTTTCCTCAGAATGTCATTGTATTACAGTTCATTCCTTAAGGGATAAGATTTCCACTTTCCTGAATGTTGCTCCTTTCTCTCATTTTACCAGCAACTTGTTACTCCCCTTTCAGACTCTTTTCTCTCTTTCCCTTCTCCTTAAGCATTGATCTCTTCCCACTGAAGTTAGAAGTAAAATGTAACAATTAGTCATTTTAATAGGGACTATTTTGACAACTGCCATTGGGTTTACTCAATTGAAATGAAGCAAAAGTCCCTTTGGGATATAAGATATTGTCTCTTTATCACACAGGTCATCCTTTACAATGTTTTCTTGCTTTTCAGATATACCAGTTAACTGTATTAATCTGTTCTCACATTGCTATGAAGAAATACCTTAGATTGGGTAATCTGCAAAGGAAAGAGGTTTAATTGACTCACAGTTCGCCGGACAGGCCTCAGGAAACTTACGATCAATGCGGAAAGCAAAGGAGAAACAGGCACCTTTTTCACAGGGCAGCAGGATGGTGTGAGTGCAAGCAGGGAAAATGCCGGATACTTATAAAACCATCAGATCTTGTGCTAACTCACTATCAGGAGAACAGCAAGGGAAAAACCTTCCCTATGATCCAATCACCTCCACCTGGTCCTGGCATTGACATGTGGGTGTGTCCGGAATTCGTGGGTTCTTGGTCTCACTGACTTAAAGAACGAAGCCTCAGACCCCCGCGGTGGGTAGATGGTGTGTCCAGAGTTTGTTCCTTCAGACGTTCAGATGTGTCTGGAGCTTCTTCCTTCTGGTGGGTTCGTGGTCTCGCTGTTAGGAGTGAAGCTTCAGACTTTCGTGGTGTCGCAGCTCTTAAAGGCAAAGCGTCTGGAGTTGTTCCTTCTTCCCGGTGGGTTTGTGGTCTTGCTGGCTTTGTGGTCTAACTGCAAACCTTCTTGGTGACTATTACAGCTCTTAAACAGTGCGGACCCAGAGAGTAAGCAGCAGCAAGATTATTGTAAAGAGCAAAAGAACAACCCTTGGACACTGTGGAAGACAACCCCTGGACACTGTGGAAGACAACCCCAGTGGGTTGCTAACTGGCTCTGGCAGCCTGCCTTTATTCCCTTATCTGGCCCCACCCACATCCTGCTGATAGGTTCATTTTACAGAGAGCTGATTGGTCCACTTTACAGAGAGCTGATTGGTCCATTTTGACAGAGTGCTGATTGGTGCGTTTACAATCCTTGAGCTAGACACTGAGTGCTAGAAGGAAAAGTTCTCAAAGTCCCCACCAGGTTAGCTAGATACAGAGTACCAATTGGTGTATTTACAAACCTTGAGCTAGACACAGAGTGCTGATTGGTGCGTTTACAATCCTTGAGCTAGACACAGAGTGCTAGAGGGAAGTTCTCCACGTCCCCACTAGGTTAGCTAGACACAGAGTACTGATTGGTGTATTTACAAACCTTTAGCTAGACACAGAGTGCTGATTGGTGTATTTATGATCCTCTAGCTACACATAAAAGTTCTCCAAGTCCCCACCAGATTAGCTAGATAAAGAGAGTGCTGATTGGTGCACATACAATTCTCTGGCTAGATACAAAAGTTCTCCAAGTCGCCATCCAGCTCAGGCGCCCCGCTGGCTTCACCTAGTGGATCCTGCACCAGGGCTGCAGGGGGAGTTGCCCGCCAGTCCTCAGCCTTTGGGTTGTCATGGGACCGGGCGCCACGGAGCCGGGGCGGTGTCCGTAGGGGAGGCTCGGGCAGCTCAGGAGCCCACCGCAGCGGGGGAGCTCAGACAGGGCGGGCTGCAGGTCCAGGTAAACACGGGGAGAATTTGAGTTTAGCGGCGCCGCGCCTGCACTGCTGGGGGACCCGGCCGCAACCTCCTGCAGCTGCTGGTCGGGGTGCTAAGCCCCTCACTGCCCTGCGCCGGGGGCGCCAGCCGGCCGCTCCGTGTGCGGGGCCCGCCTAGACTGTGCCCGAGCCGGCGCTGGCGCCTGCCAGAACTCGCACTGGCCCACCAGCGCAGCGCGGAGCTCGGGTTCCAGCCCGCGACTCTGCCGCCACACCTCCCCGCATGCAGAGGGAGGGAGCTCCAGCCTTGGCCAGCCTAGAGCGGGGCTTCCACAGTGCCGTGGTGGGCTGAAGGGCTCCTCAAGCACCGCCAGACTGGACACTGAGGCTGAGGTGGCGCTGAGAGCGAAGGCTGCTAGCATGCTGTCACCTCACATGGGGATTATGGGGATTATAATTCATGGTGAGGTTTGGGTAGGGACACAGAGTAAAACTGTATCATTAACCATGCAGGTACATGTATTAGTAGGGACACAGAGTAAAACTATATCATTAACCATGCAGGTACATATATTAGTCTGCCAGGACTGCCATAACCAAGTACTGCGGACTGAATGGCCTAAACAACAGAAATTTATTTTCTGAGTTCTGGAGGTTGGAAGCCCATTATCAAGATTCCAGCAGGGTTGGTTTCTTCTGAGGCTTTTCTTCTTGGCTTGCAGATGGCCACCTTCTCTCTGTTTTCATCCAACCTTCCCACTATATCGCTCTGTGTCCTAATTTTCTCTTCTTATAAGGACACCAGTCATATTGACTTAGGGCCCACTTTAATCGCCTCATTGTAACTTAATTAGCTCTTTAAAACCCTGTCTCCAAATACAGTCACATTCTGAGGCATTGGAGGTTAGGATTTCAACATGTGAATTTTAGGGGAACACAATTCAGCCCCTAGCAGTACATCTTACAATTTTTTTCTTTTTAATAATCACTGGTCTAAAGCAGTATTAGCTGAGTGGCTGATCACTAGAATTACCTGGAGATATTTAAAAATACAGACTCCTAGCCCCTCCTCAGGAGATTCTCATTTAGTGGGTCGGAAATGGGGCTGGAAACCTTTACATTTAAAAAATATTTTCAGACCTGGGTGTGGTAGTTCACACCAATAGTCCCAGTGATTTGGGAGACTGAGATGGGAGGGTCACTTGAGCCCAGGGGTTGGAGGCTGCAGTGAGCTATGATCACACCACTACACTCCAACCTGGGCAACAGAGTAAGACCCTGACTCAAAATAAAAAACCTTAGATAATTGCGATAATTAGTGAGGTTTGAGAACCACCCTTATAAGGAGTTCCTGCCATTATTTATTATTGTACAAGGGAAGAACAAATTGAATGAAACAATGGTAGTTGCTCAGAGGAACCTCAGAAAAATTACACCTAGTAAGCACCACTTTGAAACTTTACTGTTTCCTTTTATTTGGTTCCATGTGGTTTCCTGTCTTCTTCATTGCTTTTCATTTCTGCATGTATATATAAGCTCTTAAAGCATCCAACACACTTTGCTCCATATTTTATAATTTAATTAGCTGTGTCTATTGGAGTTAGGTTCAAAATAATTTCTGACGCATATGCTCCTATCCGAAATACAAATATTTATCAGGCATTGAATGTTGTATGAGTGTAGCTATCAATGTTTGATGATGATGACTTAAAGAAGAAGGCAATAAGGTCTCCCCCAAGAAGTTCAGGGACTTTACTAGATTGTCAAAGGCATTAGCTCTTCATGCTACCATATTATTATTTGAAAGAAAATCGTATTGTTGGAAATTTGTAGTGGGATCGTTGTTCCCCTTTGCTCCGTGGAAATTTATCATATTTTTGGTTGTTTTGACTCATTTGACCCATTTACTAGTGATAACTGAACTCAGGGTCAATTACCTCAGTTCTATGGCTTTAATGCCTGCCCTGTGGCTGCCATCTTGAGAGACTGGTGTAAGTTCCCCAGCATTCTTTCCCTTAGCACAACTTAACCATGACTTAGCACATTCCAAAGGTTTAGCTAAGCATAACTATCCCTAGATAAGATTTAGTACTTGATTGAAAACATCTTCATCAGTGTGCTTGCAGAATTCCAGTGAAATTATGTTTCATTTCAATTGAAGTAAACTCAATGGCAATTGGCAAAATGGGAGATAATATTGCTGTGTGGTCTAAGAAGAGATAATTTAGGCATTTGAACATGAAATGTAATCTCTTGGTTTTTTAAAAAAGAGATTATGCAAAGGTAAGAATGGGGATCTTTCTTTTTCTAGAAAGTCATTGATCTATGATCCCTTGAGGGTAATATTAAAAAAATTAGTTATAGATTTTAAAATTTGCTTCAGATCTGTTAAAATAAGAAAGTGAGGGAGGCAGAAACAAAGTGGAAGAGATTCAGTCGTTGAGAGGAGAGGCAGAGTTCGGTTTGCACTGTGAGCTTCAAAGTGTTAGTGTAAGCTATCTACTGCTCTTTGGCTTGTTAATCATTTGCTTTTTCTTCCAGTCATTTCTTAAATCATTTATCAAACATTTATGGAGAATTTGTTTAGAGTTATAGAGATAAATAAGAAACTATATCTGTTCTCAGTCTCAGGAGCTCAAAGTCCTGGGAGAGATGGACACATCAACCAATAATAATAGCAGGTGTGATGTATGTATATGGAAATATGTCCAGGGTTATGAAGAGCCTGGAAAATAGAAGACCAGGCTGGATTAGGGTGTGGTTTCAGAAAGGAAGCACTGGACTAAGACTTGAAGAATGCATTGGAAGAGCAAATCAGGTAGAAAAGAGGACAAAGTCATTTTGCTCAGAAGAAACAGCGTGTGCAAATGTGCTGCAACCATTCAAAGCAAGTTGCTGCTTAAGTCTTGCTCACAACTTTTCATCTGAGAAGTGGAGTAACTGAAGCAGCCAATGCTGGTGGTTGTAATTCTTGAGGATGCAACAGTAGGAACAGTAAGAAGTATTCTGCATGTCAAGGGTATAATGAAGCCTCCTGGGTTGGGCTGGGCCAGGCACGGGGAAAGAGGTACACATCTTATTTCAGTGTAATTTTTATTTTCAGGGACTATGTCCCTGGCACCAAATAGACATTAAATACATATTTATTGAATTGAGTTGACAGATTTTTTGGTTTACTTATGAAGATAAGAAAGTAATAATCTCACCTCTAGTATTTCTCTTATAGAAACGTAACTGTTATTTTAAAGATGTTATTATGGGGTCGACATTCCATGTCAGTATGTTTTATATCCATGGAGCAAGGGAGAATGACAAAGCTACTGCAAACTAAAACCACCCCCCCCACCCTCCCTGGTGTATACCAGAATTTGTACTCAATGGTGACTCGATTTATTTTCCATCAGTAGGACATTTAATCTGTGTCATTGTTCCTCTCTTCTAGGAGAGGAAATAACCCCCGAAGCCTTTGCAACTAAGGACATGTATCCTTCAGACAAATGTTTACTGGGCAACTTCTTCATGTTGTAATGGAGTATGGCTGATTGCTCACAAAGATGTTTGCAAAATTCCTCCTGTCCCCTAACTCACTTCTCCTTGCAGTGTGACTCTGCCAACTTCTCCTGTCGGTTGGTGGAGAGTGCTTCTCCTCCCCCTTGAATCTGGGCTGGGCTTATAACTTGCTTGACCAATAGAATGCAGAGAAATGAAATGCAGCCTTCAACATTCAAGGCTATGCTCAAGGAGTCTAACCCTGTGGGTATGTGGGTATGCTGCTGTCAAATGAGGGAGCTTTGATTAGCCTATTGAAGACACACAGACGACCTGACAGGCAATACCAACATTCAGATACGCAAGTTATGCTGTCTTAGACCATGCTGCCCAGGTGAGCTTTTAGACCACTGCAATTTGTGAGTGACTCTAGGCAAGACCAGAAGAACCTTCTAGCCAAATCTAAACCAAATGCCGACTCATAGAATTGTAAGCAAATAAAATGGTGGTTGCTTAAAGACACTAACTTTTAGGGTGTTTTGCCGCACCTCAATATATAACTGTTACACTAATTATTTTTCATTGTAAAATCCTCAGCGTCTTATTCTGTAATCAAACCAGAATGTCCTTGCCTTCTTAGCACTTTGCCACACTCCAGTAGGGTGAATAGACAGCAGCTGCTCATTTATGCTCACGCTCATGTTCATTATTTGCATTTGGACTAAAAGGAGCTCTGTTCTGCAGGACAGAACTATTCTAAAGCTCTTCAGGAACAGGAACAGGAGTCCATCACAGACAGCGAAATCAAAAGTGCCCTACATAGAGGCATCCAGACTGAGAGCTGAAAGGGATCTGGGAAATCATTTAGTCTCACTCCCTCATTTTCCATTCCAACCACAGAGACAAATAACTTGCTGAAGTTCTCACAGCTCTGTAGTGGCACAGTCAGAACAAGGATCCCAATCTCTTAACTACTAACATAAAATGCTTTCAGCATGCAAATTGTACATACAATAGAACAGTTTAAATTTAAATCGTGTTTTGAGCAAGGGGAGAGTCTAATTAATTATTTCACAGTATAATTTTGGAGTCACCAGAAAGGCTTTGAAGACAAAAAAATGCTTTGGAACCTAGGTGCTTCATATCTGCCCAAAATTGGGGCAGGTACAGGTGTGTTCCTGCCACTAAAGGGTCATTAGTTGGTTGGGCAGTCCTTTAGTGTTCTTGGTACTAAGCACAAAACATGGGTGAGATGGTTCAGGGCTGGTTGTGGTGGCTCATGCCTATAGCCCCAGCATTTTGGGAGGCCAAGGCTGGAGGATAGCTTGAGCCCAGGAATTTGAGACCAGCCTGAACAATATCGCAAGACCTTGTGTCTACAAATAATAATTTTTTAAGAAATAGCTGGGCGTAGCGGCACACACCTGTAGGCCCAGCTACTTGAGAGGTTGAGGTGGGAGGATTGCTTTAGTGTGGGAGGCTGAGGCTGCAATGAGGTGATCACACCATGGTACTACAGCCTGGGCAACAGCATGAGTTCCTGCCTCAAAAAAAAAAAAAAAAAAAGGTTTATGTTCTCAAAGTGCTCATAGTCTAGTGGTAGTACAATATTTGAGATATTAAAGCAGTTTCTCCTCCTTTTGCAAATAAGGACATGTATCCTTAAAGCAGAAGGAATGGCAGAGTCGTGTAATAAACCCTCATGTACCATTACCTAGTTTCAACAACTATCAACACTCTGCTGTTTTTGTTCATTTACACCTCACCTCCTTCCCATCCCCCACTTGAATACTCTCATGATTTTTTTACAGTTTTTAAGATAACATTTACATAACTGAAATGCACAAATCTTAGCTGTGCACTTTTGACAAATGGATACACCTGTGTAACCAAGGACTCTATCACAACATAGAGCGTTTCATCTCCCTAGCAAAATCCATGTGTCCCTTCCTAGTCAATGCCTTTTTATTTCTGAGGCAGTCATTGCTCTGCTTTTGTTTTTCATCTTAGGCTAGTTTCGTCTGTTCTAGAATTTCATATAACGGAGAACATACAGAATGTACTCACTAGTGTCTGACTTTGTCACAAAGGATAACGTCTGTGATGTTCATGCTGTTGCATGCATCAGTAGTTTATTTTCTTTCTATTGTTAAGTAGTGTTCTAAGGACTGTTTTAATAGCATCCCACAAATTATGATATGTTCTATTTACATTACCATTTGGTTTGTAATATTTTATATTTTCTCTTGCGATTTCTTCTTTGACTCATGAATTATTATAATGAATTATTAAAAGTGTATTATAATACATTTAGTGAAATGTATTATTGAATTTACTAATATCTGGTGCTTTTGTATCCAGTGTTGTTGGTTTCTAATTTAATTCCATGGTTTTCAGAGAATATACTCTGAAAGATTTTAATCTTTTGAAGTTTACAGATATACTTTATAGCCTCGCATATGGTATTACTTGGTGAATGTTCTATGTGTTCGTGAAAGGAATACATATTCTGAAGCTACTGGGCATAGTTTTCTACAAATGTCAATTAGGCCAAGTTGTTCGGTAATTTTTTTCAAATATTCTATATCTATATTGATGGTTTTTCTAGATGGTCTATCAGCTACTGAGTGAGAAATGTTAAAATCTGTAGTTTTGATTGTGGACATGTCTAATTTTTCCTTTAGTTTTATCTGTTTTTGTTTTATGTATTTTGAAGCTATTATTAGATTCATAACATTCATAATTGTTTTACTTTCTTTTTTTATTTCTTTTCTGTTATTCCCATTTTTCATTCTCTCTTATCATTAAGAAATGTCTCTGCTTAACTCTAGTGACAGTTTTTACTTGAAGTCTATTGTGTTCCATGCTAATATAACCACAATAGCTTTTTTGTGATTAGCGGTTTTTTTGTTTTTTTGTTTGTTTGTTTTGAGACAGAGTCTTGCTCTGTCACCCAGGCTGGAGTCCAGTGGTGCGATCTTGGCTCACTGTAAGCTCCGCCTCCCAAGTTCATGCCATTTTCCTGCCTCAGCCTCCCAACTAGCTGGGACTACAGGCATTCGTCACCACGCTTGGCTAATTTTTTGTATTTTTAGTAGAGACGGGGTTTCACCATGTTAGCCAGGATGGTCTCGATCTCCAGACCTCGTGATCCGCCTGCCTCAGCCTCCCAAAGTGCTGGCATTACAGGTGTGAGCCACCACGCCTGGCCTGTGATTAGCGTTTTTTTAAGAAATCTCCATTCTGTTTTCCATAAGGGTTACATTCCCACAAACAGTGCATAAGAGTTCCTTTTTTTTTACATCGTCACCAAAATCTGTTACTATTTGACTCTTTAGTAATTGCCATTCTGACTGGAGTAAGATGATACCTCATTGTGGTTTTAATTTTTGTTTCTCTGATTAGTGATGTTGAACATTGTTTTATATACCTGTTGGCCATTTGTAAGTTTTCTTGAAAAATGTCTGTTTGTGTTCTTTGCTCACTTTTTAATGGGATTATTATTATTATTATTGTTACTGAATTGTTTGAGTTCCTTGCATACTCTGAATATTAGTCTCGTGTCAAATAGATAGTTTGCAAATATTTTCTCCCATTCAGCAGGTTGTCTGTTCATTCTATTGATCATTTGCTGTGCAAAAGCTTTTGAGTTTAATTGAGTCCCATTTGCCTATTTTTGTTTTTTTTTGCCTGTGCCTTACCCGTTTCCTTTTTGTGGAAGTATGTCATTCAGTAGGTTTTTTTCAGTGAGGGCCTCTGGACAGTTATGTCATTGTCTTTGTATGTCCTAAAATGCCTTTTCCCTCTAACTTCTTGGACTATAATTAAGCTAGATATAGAATTCTAGACTGACAGTTATTTTCCCTCATTCCTTTAAGATACTCACCTGTTGTCTCTGGCATATATTGTTGATGATGAGAAGCATTCTGTCAGTCTTATTGTCGCTCCTTTTCAGGCAACCTGTCTTTCTTCACTGATTGCTTCCAAGGTTTCCTGTTTATTCTGGATGGTTCTGTAGTTTTAGTTTCATAACGAGGCGTATAGGCAAGTCTTTGTTACTATGTAGTTTAATTTTGTGTATTTTCTTTTCTTTTCTTTCTTTTTTTTTTTTTTTATTTGAAATGGGGTCTCACTCTATCACCCAGCCTGGAGTGCAGTGGCATGATCTCGACTCACTGCAACCTCTGCTGCGCAGGTTCAAGTAATTCTCCTGCCTCAGACTCCTGAGTAGCTGGGATTACAGATGCCTGCCACCGCTCCCAGCTAATTTTTGTATTTTTAGTAGAGACAGGGTTTCACCATCTTAGCCAGGCTGATCTTGAACTCCTGACCTTGTGATCCACCCGCCTCGGCCACCTAAAATGCTGGGATTAACAGGCATGAGTCACCGCGCCTGGCCAATTTGTGTATTTTCATAGGATATCTCATAGCTTTCTTCAAATCTGAAAAATTCTCCACTATTACCTCAAAGTTCTGTCTTCCCGATTTTCTTTAGTTTTTTCTTATAGGGCACCTACTAAACATGTCAGGGCCTTTCATTCCAACTGCCATGCATCTAACTTCTCTTTCATATTTTCCATTTCTTTACTGATCTGTGCTGTGTTCTGAGTGATTTCCTCAGATCCATATTCCCATTCATGAATTATTTTTTTATCTGAGTCTATTGTTTAACCTGTTTATTGTTCTTTCTATTTTGGCTACATGTTTCACTTCTAGAAGTTTCCACTTGGTTCATTTTGAAATCAATCTGTTCTTATTTATTTTGTATCTTATAAAAAATTAGATTCTACATTTTCTTTTCTTTTTGTACAGTTAAGATATTCATTTAAAAATCTATTTAACAATACTCGTATTTTTAGTTTCCCAGACATAAATTCTTTGTCCAAATTTCCCATTTTGTTTTGTATTTCCTCACGTGTTTTATAGTTTAGGTCTACAAGTTTATCTTCAGGAGGAGTTACCTTTAGAGGGAGTCCTGTCCATGCCCCAGAGGTTGCCGAGGCCTCTTCCTGACAGAGGTTCACCATTGCCCTTGCCCAAGTCCCACTGAGTTCCAAACCATTGTTTATACTAGGCTCTCAGCTCCTGATTCCCGTAGTGCATGGGCAATAAAAAGGTGGTTGATTTTGCAACAGTGTACAGTGCGGTTTCAAGATTCAAACTTCTCAGTATGTGGTAGGACAGCTGTTGGAATTTCTGCCTCTGAGAGCCCCAGGAAGTCAGCTTACTTTTTCCTATAACCCTTGGCCTGCTGGACAAAATTTCCAGGTAATGTTCATAAGCTTTTCAGCACATTTTTGGGCAACTAGTGCTAAGCAGTATTCCCCTTTTCTATTCCTTGATGTATTTGGGGTCTGAGGTGTCAATTCCTTTTCCACAAAGGTACGAACACACCAGCCCTTAAAATACATATCTGGTCCAATTTCTCTCAAGGTCTGGGTGGTTTCAAAAACTGCTTATCTTTATAATTTTGAGTCCCCTGTTCATTTTTGGTATATAAAGATGTCCCTTTTTTTGAGCACAACTGTGCCTTAATGTGGAGCAATATATGTATTTCCATGGGAGTGGAGATTCTTGCACCTAATCAACTGCCTTGAAAGAACTGCCATGGGACCTTTGTTTATACTGTTTAATTTCCCTGAAATGTCCTTCTTGTCCTTTCTGTATAACCATTCCCCAATTATATCTCTTCTTGTTATTTTAGTTCAAACAAAACTGCCTTCAGGCTCCATAAGATCAGAGATGTGTCAGTTGTACACCATAGCATCCTACTACTATCAGAATGGCTGTCACACAGTAGGTGCTCAAAAAATATTTGTTGAGTGAATCAATGAACAATTGAGTATTTTGCTATTGTGATCAGAAGAAAATGCATATAGAAAAAATTCAGTTCTAATTTTTCACAGTCCTACTTGTGGTTGTATGTCCCTACATACAACTCCTAGGAGAAGAAATAGTCCAAATGTCAAGGGCTGAGGTAAACGAATAAAACTCAATGTCAGTAAATCCAAGCCCCCATTTAGAATTTTTGTTTTTAAGTCTTTACAACTGTAAAATAACTATGTAATGTTTATGACATGGTGTTATCAACATATTTTTATAATTAGACTTAGTTGTGGTACTTAGGAGAATTACATGTAATTCAAATAGTTTCTAGCTCTCAAACGTGAAATCAAAGAGTGGAAACCTATTCTAGCTTGAAGCTAGGTGCCCACTAGGAAATGTGAAAGAGTGAGGGAAGAGGGATTAGTCCAGATCTAGCTCATATAATAAAAACATTAACAAGTCTATGAACATTCTTATGTGGTTCCAAAAGCCTTTTAAAAAATTAAACAGCAGGGCCAGCAGGCCTAGATAAGGCACTGGTAGAGTTGATTAGTTGAAATTTAGATTTAGAGTTTCACAAAAGCAACCCGAGTTGAGAAACACGTTTTACATTGAGTCATGAAGTTGTTTTAGCTTTGTAGCAAGGAAAGATGCTGCAACCATTTCCTGGGATATACTTGAGTAGTCTAATTAGGTTGTTGAGTACCCATTGCTTCAATTAAGCAATTTTGCCGAGGTAATTGGAGTGATCCTTCAGGACTGGTATTCCCACCTTCTCCACTAAAATGCCCTTTTACCTTCTTTGACTGCAATTTCTCTCAATAAGCATCGATTGAGCAGCTATTCAACCCTTAATGGAGGACTGCATCTATCTAGTGCTATGAAAGGGGAGGATGAGAGCAGAGCTCAATTCCAGCCCTCAAAGACTTATAAGGGAGTCTGGAGACAAGCCACAGGCAGAAGCAAGATGAAAAGGTATGCATTATGACATGACAAGCACAGAGAAGCAATACAAGAGAAGCTGCAAGGCTGCTTGTGGTTAAGAGTCAAGTGTTTCAGATAGTGTTACGGATTTTATCACCCTGGGAGTCATAAATTTCTTCCGCCTTGAAATGAGACACCATTTTCTTTTCTACATTGCATAGCACTAAACTTATTGCCCCATCCTACAAGGATATGTTTTTCATTTCTTTAATTCTCTACCAAGTTTGAGATAATACGTGGAAGTGCATGGCCTCCTGTCTGGCACATAATATATCCTTAGTATATATTCATTCATGTCTCTGAAACCTCCTTTCTTTGCATTCTTTCAAAAATGAGGTCACTACAACTGGTAGACCATAGCAAGGAATTTCCTGGGTAGATGCATTGAGTTGATGTCTACAGTCCAAGCGAGAGAGAAAGGGTGAAACCCAGAAAGGAGAGGTGGTAGAACCGAGGGTCAAGTAGCAGGAAGAAACCCTGTGTGAGTTTAGCATG